TGAAGAGGAGTTATGGAGGTTTCAGATCCAAAAAGAGGTGAAGACTGGAGACAGTAGGATCTGGAAGCATGAACATTTTAGTTTCACCTTCTGCTTTATTTCTCAAGTTCATGTGAAGACCTGCAATGTTTGCTCTTCCAGCTACATTCATGACTTTCTACCATGAAAGCTGGGATTTGGAGGGACCCTATCCTTTTGGGAAGAAAGATCACTTGAGATATGCTCTCATAGGGAAAATGGGTTTATACCAATCTCTCCTAGACTGCAGACTGGGATCTCCCATAAGCTGAAGAGCAATATGCAGTTCCTGAATGGGGAAAAAAAGGAAGGTGTACTACTCTACCCAGGCAGGCACTAGGATCCATGGGCAAGGCTTGTAAGGATTTGGGTCCTTTTCCCTGCCCTTTCCGTATGAACCATTGGATGCCCAGCCTGGCCTTTTGATGTGGTGAGCAGAGAGCAGTACAAAAAAGTACAAAAGAAACCAAAAGTACAGCATTGAGAGGGTACTGAGGGACTGGGTAGAGACATGCTCTGAGCTTGTCCCAAATTCTAAGTGAGATGCTTTATACCACTTTGGGAAACCTTTTCTGTTTCCAGGCTGATCTCCAAGGCTACATATCTAATAGTAAATACAACAGGCTGTATTTACTCCATCTTCCAGCCCAGTGGCATAGTCGTGATCATTTCAACATCTTCAGATTCTTTTTCTTCTAGACAGGGACAGTCTTATGTGGTCTGCTTTCTGGGAGCTGCCCCCAACCCATACTGCCCCCAGCCCAAGCCTGCACATGTGGGACAGGGCTGCTGGGTGCAACTAAAGCCAGCTGGTGGGGTGCAAGCTGTTAAACAGCATGGCTGTTCATTTACCAGGGCACAGGTCTGTGCTCTGGCCCTGCTTAGTGTATTATTTTTGACACAGTCTAAGTACTATGTCCCCATAAGCATTTGAATTCCTTTCTGATTTGAGTTTTCCTGTTACCTGCAAGAGCTGATGCTCTTCCTGACAAACCTGGAAGGAAATTTCTTCCTAAGCACTGATGGTAAGAAATATGTACCATAAGTCATTTCCAGCCTACATAGAAATGCATTTTCTAATTAGTGGAAATACAACTTCTATTCTGACTCATGTAAATACTTACTTCTCTTTAGAGCCTCTTGAACTGCATGTCTTGTTACTGTAGCTTTATAATGGTTAAATTATCCTGTTAAGGTGAAGTCATTCAGGGATTTGAAGGAGTCTGATCATACTGCTATGGCTTAATGCTATTATTATTAAGTGTTCTGATGGGTTTGCCTTAACAATGATTAAAGATCAGTAAGGAACATAAAGGATTTATTTAGTCTCACTTTAAAGCCTTTATTCTGTATTTTTTTCCATTCAACTGCACTTTGACCTATTAGAATTTTGGCTGCTTATAGACATATGCCACTGAGTTTTGTTCCATTTCTCATCATTTGTTTTTCTGGGCATAATGTCCTTACTACTGATTACCTGCATGTTGCCTGACTGTTTTCCTTTTGAAATCCAAGAGAAAAAATGTTGTAACAAATAATCACATAAACATTATGTAAGTGCTTGGAAGTTAACAAGGAAATGAGTATTAGCCAGCATGGACTTGTCAAGAACAAATTATATCAGACTAATCTATTTTTTTCTATGACCATGTAACAGGCAGTTTTGATAGGGGAAAATCAATAGATGTCATGAGCCCTGACGTTAGGATGCTCTGACATTCCTGCAGATAAGCTGGAGAAACATGCTCTGGATATGAAATTTCTCATGTGGCTGGTTTTGTGTTCTCAGTGCACAGTTCCCCACAGGTCACTGACCAAATAGTGGTAAGCAGTACTGAGGCACTGTAAGGATCTGTTATGACTCTGGGCACACTTAATCTTTTCATTAACAGCTAATTGATAGAAGAGGAAGCATGTGTATTACACTTGCAGATAATTGTAAATAGGGAGAGACTGAAATATGTGCAAGGTAGTGCTTCCTATCTACTAGGTCCTAGGGAAACTTCCACAGAAGTTACAGTGTATAGCTCAGGGTACTGTATCCCAAGGAAGATGGGTACAGCTGTAATTGGAAACAAGAAGAATGACCAGTGGCCTGTGAGGGAAGGCTGAAAGAGCTGTGCTTGCTTGGTCCAGAGAAAAACCAAGAGGAAGGGCAAGTACACAGAAAGCTCCCTTAAAAAGGAAGGGAAAAAATTCTTTTTGTCTGTAATGTATAAGATGGAAAATAATGGGCTTAAATCGTGTCAGGGGACACCAAGGTTTGACACTGGGAAAAACTTTTAACATTCAGGATAATTAAGTACTGGAACATATTGCCCGGGGAAGATGGATAATCTCTTACTGTTTTGTTGTTTGTTATTTTTTTTAATGAGCTAGACAAAAAACTGTCAGGACTGATATTTTTGCCTTAGGGCAAGGGGATAGGTTAGATAAATTCTTGAGTCCTTCAAGCACTATTACCTGTAGTTCTGTATGTCACTGCTGATTTCAGCACTTCCATATTCATGTCCAAAAGCTGGCTGAATACATAGGAAACCTGAGTTCTCACTCTGACCTCTCCCCTGTGCTTTCCTCTAATCCATAAAATGAAGCCCAGAAGGGGTAGATGCAATTATATGTTAGTTTAGAGGCACAAATATTAGGGAGGTAAGAGATAAAGAAAAGAAGCTTGGGTGAGAAATGTCCTGCCTTCCCAGTGACATCGTGCCAAGTGTACCAAGTTCAGTCTTGTTATGCTCCCAAATGGCCCATCTATGATTGCATTAGCACAAAGTATCACCATCTGAGAAGAGCTCACATGCAGAATTCATTGAATTAAAATTTAAGGCAATAAAAGAGAGCTTATAATGTATTGGAAACATTATCAGTAGCAAGACTGCCAGCATATTAGTGACTATGATGGATTGACTACTGGGGAATTCATTAAATTTACAAGAGTCTCCCCAAATGAATCCGCTGGCTAAAATATTAATTGTTGCCCTTGGGAGCACTTTGGCCATTTAGTTTCCGAGTAGAGCTTACTCTGAGAAAAGGATTATGCTACTGATGTTTGCTTGAATTTAAGAGTGGAGTCAATTTATGTTGAGTTTTTTAACATTGAAAATAGTTTCTCTTTGTACAAAGCTTGCTGCCTTACTAAACATAGGGCCTGTGAGAAATAATTTTATGAGTGAAAAATACATTACTTAACACAACATGCCCCAAAAGTATAAAGAATAACCAATATTATATTCATGCAATGACAGTCAATCTAAAGGCGGTGATTGTTTGGTTGTGTGGAGGATGGCAGTGATTTCTGTCTGCGCAGTCACGTCTGCTAAAAGAGGAGAACTGCTGAAGTTTTAAAAATGAATGCAGAGAAATTCTCTACTTTCCATCTTAAGCTGATGGACACTTTAAGGTTAATGTTGCAAAGTCAAGTGTATCCACATATTGTGAATGTACACTGGAGAAATTCTCCAAAGACTGAGACTGTAACTCTCTTCAATAGAGTGGATCTGTGGAATTGTTCTTGGATTAACTCAAAGTGCAAAAGGTCACAATCTGGATTTAATTTTCTTATTTGTAAATTCTGATTCTGTTTTAGACAACTGGAGATGGTTGAAGTAGACCAGATCTTCTCCAGGTGCTTGTGATTGAATCACAAATTGGTTTATTGGCTACAAAATTGAGATCTGTAATAACTTTCATGGGTCAGTACCAGCAGAGTTGATGTCTTTAATGGAACTAGAACAATAACTCAACTGTAATGTAGAAAAGATGAGGAATTTTGGGATGAGGTGACTGATATTTTTTTTGACAGACCCTTAGTGTTATATACTAAATGTTAAAGAAAACAATCACAGCAATAATAGTTACCAATGGCCAAGAGAGGATGAGAAATCTAGGGCTTGTTCATATAGTGCTGATGGACTGGTATTCTGGGACCCTGAAGACCACCACCTGAATCACTGATCGTAAGGCGAGTGTTGGGGCAGGAGAGAATAATTTTTCTTGCACTTCTGAGCTTTGTTTCACAGCTCCACGAAAAGCCAAATGAAGATGCAGTGCTAGCTGGCATAGCCTTGTTGTTAGAATACAGCTTTTCATTTGGGCTTTTCTTTTTTTTCTTGCACGAGATGCAGTCCTGGCTTGTCAAACCTGGGAAATGGGTGATTCATCTATTGTATTGTCCTGTTCTCAGTAAATTGCAGTGTGATTCTCAATTTACCTGCCATATGACCAGCTCTTCTTAAAAATCCAAATGCATAAGCAGTCTGTGCCCAAGAACATGGGAAGGGAGCACATTACTTACAAAATATGTAATCAAGCAGTGTGATCTAACCATTAACTGGGTGACATCCTTCTCTTTATTTGGACAGTTTACTGGCTCTAGGGTTTCAAGTGGGAGCTGTCACTTACAGTTTCTTATAATACAACTTAATTAAAATTTCATTCCTGTACCAGCAAATGCCAGGTCACCAGATGGTTCCTAATTGTTATATCCAGATATTCTGTTCTGGATTGCAGCTAACATTAGTTGTTTGTGCTAATGTTACTGGGACAATTACTACATCTACTTTGCAAATGTTTAATATACAAATCTTAGTCTTTAAATAATGTAAAAAGAATTGCTTCAGTATTTACTAATCCATGTAAAGTAATAAACTTCCACAAGACCCTAACGGCTTTTTAACTACAATAGACTAGTGCGTGGTTATTAAAAAATCAGAATTTCTGAGATTGTAAAAACTGTAATCCAATCAGAGAGGTAATGCAAATCACACAGTCTCATCATATCAGTAAGTGCAACGTAAGTAACGCTTATCCTGAGGCAAATACCTTCCAGACTGTGGGATAGGATACCCAAACTGGGAAGTTAGAGTAGAAGATGTTAACAGAACACATGAAGAAAATCTGCTGACTATCACAGGTTTATGGAAGGCAAGAAGGGATACACACCGAACTGAAACTCTTGCTTAGGACCTTTTGGGCCTGGAAATATAATTACTGTGCTGGGCTTAGAAGAACTGTGTGTCATGAGCTCCAGGCCTATCCATGACAGAAAGGGAAGATGATCACTGAAGCCCATTAAAGTTGAAGCTATGGGCTGGACCCTGCTTCCCTCTCTCCCTGTGTCCTTGGAGGTCTTTCCCCTTTTGGTCATGTATGTGAAGAAGTGGTAGCTTGGCCTTTTTCTTGTAGCTGGTTCTGTGCCTGCATGTGAAATAATGAAGGAATAGGAGGTAAAGTGGTTGCAGAAGATTCTTTTGAGAGCAGGTACCTGGCCTGCTCTGAGTAAATGGCATAAGGGAGCTTTCATGCAGAAATGAACAAAACTATTTAGGTGTCTTCAGGAGTAACGAGCATGGTACTGAAAGACAGAACCAGCTGCCTACTTAGACAGGCACTGAGGACAATCATGACGACAGCTTTTGGAAAATAGAGTGTAATAATGCATGATATGGTATCTGATGGATTGCCTGACCACTTGCTGGAGTGGGGACAGGAGGTTTCGTAGCTGATGCATTTGAGAAACTCATTTACTTCATGAAACATTTTTGCACTTAACCTCCAGATGTGCCTAAAAGTCTTGTTGATGTTCCCCAATGCCTGTCAGGAAGTGATAAAAAAGAGAGAACAAGTAATCCTTGTCACCACTGGTGACTTTATATTAGTTTCTAAACTTAGAGTGGCAGGGCTTTCCTCTTTGCTTCTTTGGTTGCTTTTGCTTTACTCTGTTGTCTTTAATTGCAGTATCAAAGGGTATTTGATGGTGTGTGTGTTTTCGTGCTTGTTTTTAACTTTTTGTCCCGAACAACTCCCAAACTGAAAAGAAAAAGATCAGCATATTGTGTTTTGTGTAGGGATGGTAAAAATGTAATTTCTAATATATAAGTAATTTTTATCCAGATTATCTTAGAAGACAAATTCTTCCTTGTACAATCAGGAAGGTAATTGAAAGACGAATTGAGATATTAAAGTTAGCCGGGGAAAAGCAAATGAAACTAGCTTCTGTCGAAGAGGGACTCATCCCTAAAACTTACTCCCTCCTTCCTGTTCTTGTCTGTCTTCATTTTAATGTCCTGCAGGTTAAAATGCAAGGCCTATGGGGCTATTCCAGAAAAACATACTTTCTTTGACCCAGAGTGCAGGGATCAAAGTCTTGTTGCTATTGCATCAGTACAGTTTTACTCTGCTTTATGCTGTACATCTGATCTATAACTTTGGTATTTACTCCAGTTGCAGAACTGTTGGCAGACCTGTGTGAGATGGCTCCAGTAAAAGCAGGACTGCTGGGACCTACATTATTGCTAAACTCAAAACAAAACAAAACGCTTATCTTCACAGTTCTTCCTATTGAGATTAGAAGTAGAAGTAATAAATACAGTGAAGGAAGCTGTTCTCAAATTATTTGGTATGCTAAGTGGAATGGGAAAGTGCTTAGAAATATTTCTCAAATGGTTTCTGTAAACATTCCTTGAATAATTTTCCTGTGCTTAGGTTTGGTGTGTGTTTAAGAAGACAGGGACACTTTCTAATAATTAGTTTTTGTCTTCCCTTTTGTATTTTAGAAATCTCATGGAGCTTGGGGAAACAGAAATTCAGTTCCATTTTAAGACTTTAAAAGAAGCAAATAAAGTTTCAGAGGAACAACTGAAACTTAGCCCTCAACTTGACACCAAACTCCTTTAAGTTTGGCCCTGACTCATTGTTCTGGACATATAAATGTGATGCCAGCAGCTGACAAGGGATGTTCCTTTAGCTGACTACTGTACTGCTATAAGGTTTCAGAAAAAGAGAAGGCAAATTTCAGTTAGGACACTATTGCAATTAGCGCTTTCCTGGATGCAGCCCTTGACTGTATCAACCCATACTAAATCCACATGGCATGTGTGTGATTTGACAGAATTTAATCAACAGCTAAAAATTTGCAAAAAGAATGCAGTTAAAAAGTGGTGTTGTAACAATGATGAATACCAGGGAAGCAGCAAGTCAGTGAATCTGCTGGTCTCATTGAAAATTAACCAAATTTCCTATTGATAAAAGGCTTTGAAATGGGTATGTAGGAAATGTACTGAAGTACCTTGAGTTTGAGTTCTTGCCTTTCTGTTGAAGGTCCCTGAACAACTGGTTGGATGCTTGTTTTGAAGAAACCCTATGCATCTATTCCACTTTACAAATAAAAATGCACAATGTCTGGAGGGCTGTAGAGTAGCATTACAAAAGCAGCAGGAGATGAGAGACCTGCAACAATCAAAAGGCTGTTAACAAACAGATTCTCTTACCTACAATAATTCTGTTGCTGCGTCTTGTTAGAGTTGTGGATAAGAAAATTAAAACTGCATCCCATGTTATATCAGTTTCCCTCATATTGTGTTTGACATTAGTGAGGTTTGACCGTGTATCCTGAAGAGTTTCCTTCACTACGTATGACATTAAATTTTAATCGGCATTATTATTAGCTTAGTCTTATCCCAGTGTTGACACCAGCAATCAGGAGTAAGCATAAGAAATGTTAAGGATTGCAATGTAGAGAAGGTCAGACCATGATCTGATGGTTTCTGTCTTAAATTTTATGTCTGGCATATTTCTGTGGACAAGAACTCTAGGCAATACAGTTACCCACAGGCAGAAAGAGCAGGAGTGACATGAAGGAAGGAAACAGAGATGTACAGCAATTTCTAGATTTTTTTTTGAAGATGGGTGAAGTTAGAATTACATAGAAATGGGTACAGAGTAGGAAACTAAGGTTCATAGAAGCAGGAAGGGGATAAACCATGCAGAGCCCAGCAGACAATGGGCAGAACTTTAATTTCATATCAAAGATGAGAACAAGTCAGTGAAGGTGTCTGAGAAGTGTCTGGAGTTTTCCTGAATGGTAAGTAGGGCAAGATGAATTCTAAAGATGGCATGAAATATGTGATGGGAAGAAGCTGGAACAGGCAAGGCATCAAGATGAAAGGCACAACAGTGGGACATGTCCCTGAAATATGGTTCTGGATATCCTGTTGGCATTGAAACTTAGGGAAGAGTCAAAGGTTATATACTCTTAGTACATAAGCATAAGAGACAGGAAAAATACTGAATCTGCAAACAGTTAAAGACAAGAGAAAAGGAGCTGGAATTTCATTGACACCAAGGGAGTTTCTTTCAATCACAATACCACTAAACTTTCCAAATGCCTCTGAAAATATTTGTTGAGGCATGACTTATCTACTTTCAAAAACATTTTTGCATTCCAAGAGATAATACGGTTAGAGTCATCTGCATGGGTTTCCATTCTGCAACCTTTTTTGAGGTGACTAATTCTCATGGAATTTCAGGGGATTTGATAATTTAAATACCTTTATTTCCATTAAAAAACCTAGCTACCTACTGTTAATAGATACATAAAGAACATGAAGGCATGGATGAAAAATTATAGGCTATCATCCAGAATGTTTGTAAAATGTCTATGATTAGAATAAATATATATAATAGACATCTGAATATTTCTAATTAACATTTTAGTTTTATGGTTTTTTTCTGTTGTTTGAGGAGGTAGGGTGGGTTTGTTTGGCTTTGTGTTTTTGTATTAACTGTACCTGAATCAATCCTTTAAATGTTCATTTAGTTAGGAGTAATGTGTATTTCAAATGTTATTTAAACATTCCTGTGCCAAGCCATTTTATTTTAAACAAGTGGTAAATGAATCACTTGCAGAGGTCTCCGCAGGATTGAAGATTAATACTGTTTTCTCCGGCATGAGACATTCAAATTCATCCTCTAGAAAACAACAGAGAACACTGAATACCCTTCTGGGAAAATTCAAGCAATTCCGTAAAGTCAGGGGAGGTTTACATTACAGTTGTCATATAAAATTCAGACAAGTGAAACCATAAAAGCCAAGCCAAAACAAAAAACAGTTTAATACAGGTGAATGTCAATGCCAAACAAGAAAAAGGCAGTGAAGTTGCAGCTTGTCTGGGTGACTTCAACACAACAGAACTGCACGCATACAAGGAATTTAAAATGAGGGAAGAACCTGAATGTGAACAAAACTGAAATTAAAATCGAGCAGTATACTGACTGAAAGCGAGGATAGAAAATGCAAGTAGCTAGCTGTTAGCAAACCTTAGCTATAGCAGATGTGATTGCCGTTAGCTCTAAATGCATGTTAAATTAAAGCCAGCATCTGTTCTTGCAGATATGGCCTCAGTCATCTTAAAAGAAAGATTAATTTGGAAATCAAAACTTTAGAAAAGGATTAATGGGAGGGTTTGGTAGAGCTAGAGAAACCTGATGTCTGATAACCATGGGCAAATGTTCACAGTCCTGGTTTTTCTGCAGCTCCAAGTGAGTGGTGTTACATAGGAGCTGGTGAAGGTCCTGCACCTAGAAGTCAACAAAACCTTTTAAGCATGTGAATATGGGATTCAATGATTTGACTTCTTTCTAGACAATCAAAGCTAAGCAAGTATTAAAATGGTGACAAATCATGCGACAAGGAAAGCAAAGTCCCAAAGATTTCTATCAGCATCTAACTCTGAGCAGCACTTATACAAAGAGAAACAAAATTATTACAATACCAGGCATCATAAAATACTGGAACCTAGAAAAATGAAAGCAGTAAGAATGACTCAAAAGTTCAATCGCACAGTTACCAAGCCTGGATGTAACTTCTGGAAACTGAGGAAAAGGACTTCCAAAATGATGAAGGGATTACAAATAGTAAAATAGGCAGTAGGAACTATCATCAGAGAAATCACAAACAGAAAAGAAATTGTGTCATCTAATCAGAGTGCTGAGAGCTGAGGAATAAAGAAATGGAGGAAACATGCCTAGCTGGGACTTCTGAACACTGTTCTTAGTCACCGAGTATTAAGACTGAGAAGAAGTACTTAGCAGCAGGAAAATGTTACAATAGAAGGGGTAAAGTGACAGAAACCATCAGTGTTTCGTATCCTGCTCTTCTCATTGCACCATCAGTTATATAGTACTGGCTATCTAAATTCATTTTAATAAATAGGACGCTGAAATAACTGTTTAAAAAACAGTAATAGAAAACTTGTTTTAGGGTCATAAATTCTGAATTAATATGTATATCCATGAGTTTATTTCTCATTTTGGGTCTTGCTGTAAAACATGAAGTTCAGTTTTATATGATTCAACAACCCTTAACTAAAGCAACAAAATTATGGTTTTGACCACCCATCTGCCTTATTTCTAGAATATTGTACAGATTTAGAGCAATGTTGCTAAAGTAACAAGTCTAAAGTAAGATGTTAGATGGCTTTGCTTAGTGAGGATCTATAATAATATTAAGTAATTACTTCTCACATTTTAATTTCACTATAGTAAAGTTTAAAGTTTTAAAGTTTACAACAATATAAAACTTGAAATAATCATAGTTTACTGTTTAATGGTGTGGAGCAAGGAAATTTTTAGAAGTAATGAGTCAATGAGACCATGTATTCTTAAATATTTATGCTACTTCTGGGATGGTTGTGCAAGAACTGTGGAGTATATGCGACTATTATTTGCTTCTCCCAGCATATTGCCATGTCCCCTGCACAAACACGATCCATGAAATTTAGCCCTTACAGTTTAGAAATTACGTCTTTGTGAAAGAATGATAATACTTCCATTAGAGAAATCTCTTATTAAGCCTCTGATGTTAACAACCTGATAATGGGGGTACAGGATGCAAGTTATAATGATAAAATTGGCTAGATAGTATAATGTTCTTGAGTGCAGATTACTACAGGATTTGTACAAAATGGAATTTGTTGCTGCCAATTTTTTTCTTATTTTGTACTGATAGGAAACATATCTGTTTTATTATGTTGGGCTGACATATAGAAACCTCTTAACATTAGCATATATGTCTTGCCAATATATTGGTTTATGAGTTTTCAATAATAAATAGGTGACGAAAAGTTCTTTCCCACTTTTGTCGACTGAGAGTTGCTGTTTGAATGTTGAGTAAAAATTCATTTACTCTCACAACAACATAGATAATATCTGAAAAGATTATTATCCCTGACGGTAGAAACTATCTGCTAACCTCTCCATGCAATACTAACTACCTGGAGTCTATATTTGAAAATAAAAAAAACAAACTAAAACACATAAGCACGATGCTGCAGTTCTATTCTTGTGTAATGTCTCCTATTGTCTTCCTAGTATGCATTTTCATCATTCTCCCAATAAAATTATAAATGCTATTACACAGTAAATATTAGAAATGTTATCCCAAATAAAATTAGCTGAAAAGAGAATAGTTTCATTATTTAAACAAAAGAAATATTGTTCCTACCATATTTGCTTCAGGAAATTGAAAAGTGAAGATGGGATAGGGGATAGAAAAAGGACTGGAAATTTGCCCTTCAGTTTCAACCCATTTGGGGTTGAAAATAAACTTTTATTTTTAAAATAAACTTTTCTTAAATAATGTTATTTAAATCATGGACTTGTAGTGTTAGCAACTCATTTAAATAGCCACACTATAAAAATGGTTGGTCAGCATTGTATTTTAATGACAGTTTTGCCTATAAGAAGTGCAAGACATTATTCCATCAACAAAATCAGAGTTACTGCTATCTACAAATGACAGGCTGAATCCATGTGTATCAAAGAAGTCCATGGCACTGGAAGAAAAAGGAAAAATAATATTTTGGTCTAGAATTGTAACTGATGAAAGAGACACCCTAAATAACATATAAGATTCCTTTGATATATGGGTAATTTCAGCTGCTTACCTTTAGATTCAAAATATTAGTAGTGGTGTTCTCAGAAGTCAACACTAGATACTTGAATAATCCTCACAGATGTTCATACTTTAAATAGGAGAGGTAATGTCATTCCTACAAAATAAACACATAGTAGGATGGAAAGGAAGAAATCCCTCCAAGATGTTGAAGTGTAAACATGGGTACTTTCAGCAAAGTACATGGAAAACTACAGTCGGAAATGAACAAAGTTGTGGAAAAAGTCAGATTGTAAATTATAAGGGAAAGGGGAGTGGGTAAGTCTGTCATTTAACCCTGAGGATAAATGTTCTAATTGATGAGGTAGCTAGGAATGTAAAGCTGACACAGATGTACTACTCAAAGAGAGTGGAAAGGGGGGTACAAGAGACTAAAAAGGCAGGAATTTTTAGTCCTCTTCAGATTCAAGCCGAAGAACGTCTCTAAAATTTGTAATAGGGATATGGGCTCTAAAAAAACCTCAGTAGTTAATCAGAAGCATTAAGTTCAATGATCAAATTGGAAGCCATAAAAACCAAACCAGAAATCAAAAGCAAATATCAGTAATAGTTCAACCATCTTGACAGAAAAGGGAACATGGCAAATTCCTCCTATTCTTGAATCTTTAAATCATGACATAATATGCTTGTTTGTTCCAAGTTTCTGGACTGTGGGTGCTGACCCCCTCTCCCCAGTGTCAGAGAATGCAATCAGGGAGTTGTGAAACATTGAAAATTTACTGTGCTCTTCCCTACTCTTTGCACACCTTTTATCTTCAAGGTCAAGTAACTTCCATCCACCTCTTAAACTCTCCCACATTATATAGATTTACTGTATAATTCTTACACTGTTTTATAGTAAATTGGGAAAATCTAACTTAAATTAGAAACTTCAACTTAAGAAACTCTAAAAGGGCTTATCTAGTTCTGGTCACTATATTTAGTGATAGAACAGGGAAGCAAATACATCATTATACATATTAGCTAATAATGTATAGAGCTGTGAATTTTATGTTTTAAGTAACTACCTGTAAAGAAAATGAAGCACGGAACTATTTTCATGAGGAATAAAAACTTATATTTGATTAGGAAGGAATTTTGTACTTGGCTGTTTCTGCAGCAATGTATAACTTCTACCCTGGCCAAGTTTTGTGGGTACTGACTGCTTTTGCTCCTTCTGTCTTCATCTCTGCTTTGACAATAAGTTATGTTTCCTATGCTGTTTGGATTACTTTTGTGTTAAGACACTTAAGTCGGGCTGTAGGTACCACTTGAGCCATTTGTTAGAGATTCAAATAGTAGTTTATTTTAAAAACCTCTTAACTAAATTCACTGATGTGTTAAATGTGCATGATAAAGTCTTAAATTATCTTGTATATATTGCAGCTAAATGCAACAGGCCTCATAAAGTTTAAATATCATATCTTAATCCAGACAGTGAAAACTTGTAATTACATTGTGTATCCTGGGAGCTTGTTTATTACAAGTTCACTAATGTCTTTGTACTGATTAGGAGCACATAGTTTTTCCAGAAAATCCTCCTTTTTGTCTGACATACTGTTTTCCAGGACACTAAGTTCAAGATCAGACACGTTAGATGGCAAGTAAGAGCTAACTTTAGTTACTGACTTCTTTTCTCCTGCAGAGGTCTGCCCCTTTCCTATATTCAGATCAGTAGCAGATTTAACTTGTTTGCTTGTCGATATTTGTTTAATATGCTGATCACCCCAGTTCTCTTCCTTACTGATCTGTTGGGCTTTCTCCTCTTCATCTAATAATGATGCCTCCATCTGAGCAAGGTTAAGTGAGTCAGAGGATTCAGCACTAGTTCTTTTGCCGGTTTTAAAGTCACGGTTTCTACTCAAAGACTGGACTGGAGATGAAGCTGAAGGAACTGGCACGAGATCTGAAGTACTTCCAGCTTTCTGACTTGTCTTTGAAATTCCAGACCTGCAGGATTCTGGCTCTGTATCTGACCTACCTCGCTTTGGGCTTTCAAGACACAGAGGTTCAGGACTGCTGTCAAGAGCTTCTGAGTCTTTGTCTGTACACTCAGCACTGGTGAAATCTTCGGAATAAACTGTGTTTTCAGGACTAGCAACAAAGTCATCCGAGAATATGAATTCAGAGTTGTTTTCAACACTCCTGCTGAGGCTGGGTTTATGACCACTTATAACAGATGCATCATCATGCTCTGTAGTTTCATGATGGATTAAGTGTATTGCTTCCTCGTTACTTCCATTTGCATTAGCATCTGATGGGAACGCTGCTAGGAGTTGAGCTTTTGCATACTTTTCCTCCTGAGCAGACTTTAACACAGTTTCCTCCGGTAAGGCGGCTGTCGTTACTTTGTATGGATGTTCCTTGCTTGCAATTGCATCCTTCCTCCGTAAACTTGCAACAGTTTGTTCTTGCAGGTCTGCGGACACATCTACTGTCACAGAAATGGTCTCTGAGAGAACACTGTTTTCTAATGAAGTCTGGACAGTTTTATCCAACTGATTATTCCGCTTTGAACTGTCTCTCTTGCTACAATGCCTGCAAGAAACCACATGCTGTTCTCCGGCATTTCTGAGCAGCTTTCTGTTGAGTAAGGGGCTTCTCTCCTTCAGCATCTCCATTTGCTTTTTTCTGTACTTCTCCCTCCTTTCATGAATTATCAGCTTATCAGGGTTGGTCTGCTGCAGCCGTAGCCTCAGTGTATTTGTCAGCCCATACAACAATTTCTTTCTGGGAGGTCTGTTCTCCTTGGCTTTGCAGTTCCTTTCAGCAGCTGGCTGTCCCTGGAGCACAGCTTTCTTAGGTCCTCTCCCAGCACCAGAAGACACTGGTGGGGTGGCCTCTTGCCTGCCTTGTTTGAATCGGGGGCTCACAGCTCCACTGCTCCTACCAGGCCCCACAGGTGCCTCTGCAGGCTTGAGGGCAGCGGAGGGGCTGGGAGGCCGTGAGGCCCTTCCACTACTCCCCGGGGCCTGGTAAAGCCAGGCAAGATGGGGATGGACAGCAGCAGCAGGCACAGCGCTGTGGGTGAGCACCGACAGCTCCGCCAGCAAGGCCCTGAGTAGCGGCAGCTGCCCCAGGCTGTTGTGGAGCTGTCGAGAGCTGGCGGGGTGCAGCAGCGAGGGCTCGGCACTGGGACGCGGGGGACTCTGGCCCTTGTCTTTCTCCTGCGATCTCCTGACCTCGACGTGCTCCCATTGCGCCGCGGCCGCCGCTGCTGGGGGCCGCTGAGGCTCAGCCGGCTCACGGCTGTAATAGAGCAGCGGAGGGCAAAAGACGTTGCCTTCCAGCTCCTCACTCTCCTCCTCCTCATTTTCCTCCTCATTCTCCTTCTCCTCTTCCTGGCCCCCCGGCTCAGGGGAGGTGGCAGGCGGCGTGGCAGCGCGGGGGATTGCGGGGCTCGCCGGGGGGGGCTCCTTGCCGGCCTCCAGGCAGGTAAGGCGGTAGCCCAGGACCAGCTCCCCGACGGGGCGGCCCGCGGTGTCCCGCAGCGCGAAGCGGCCGCGGCGGCCGCACGAAGCCGGCGCTCCGGGCCGGTGCAGCAGCTCGGCGGCGACAGGGGCCAGGGGGACGGCGCAGCTGCCGAGGAGGCGGGGGGGCCCCGGGGCGAGGCCGGCGGGCAGCGCCAGCAGCAGGGCGCGGAGCGGGCGGCGGCGGAGCGCGGCGCTGAGCGAGCCCCGGCGCCAGCGGAACAGGCAGCGCTTGCCGCGGCCGAAGGGGAAGGGCTGCCCCGGCCGCAGGGGCGGCGCGGCGGCGGCGGGGCGCAGCACCAGGGTAGGGAATTCCAAGAGGCGCAGCGCCACGGCGGGGTGCTCCGCGGGGGCTGGGTGCTCCGCGGGTCCCGGTCCCGCCACCCGCACCGCCTCTACTAGCAGCTCCAGCGCGAACAGCCCCTCCATGCCCGCCCGCGGCCACAGCTCTCGCGAGAGCTCTATCTGTGTGGTGTGAGGCGCGTAGGCGAGGCCGTTGTTCTCTCGCGAGAGTTGCGTCGCGGACGCTCAGCCTTCCCAGGCGGTTCTTCGTCGCTGCTCCATGTCCGGCGCATCCCGGGCGGCGTGGGCTGTGCCGGAGACGCCCGCCCTTCGTCACCCCGGAGCGCAAGGGCAGAGACCATTGAGATCATCGTGTCCAACCTGTGACCAACACCACCAGGTCAATTAGACCATGGCACTCAGTGCCACGTCCAGTCTTTCCTTAAACACCTCCAGGGACGGTGACTCAGCCACCCCCCTGGGCAGCCCATTCCAACGTCTAATCACCCCTTCTGTGAAGAAATTCTTCCTAATGTCCCACCTAAACCTCCGTGACACAATTAAGACTATGCCCTGGTCATGAGAGTATATTTCTTTTCAAAACAAAACCCAACGTTTTGGCTTTGAATTGCAACTCAGAAATTAAAGCGTTTTACTTTCCAACAATCCTGGTTTCTATTAGCCACCATTTAAAGGGGACTTGTGATAAGACTTCTTTAGGTTGCATATCACAGAAGACTAATTTAGGAAACAGGCATGGTGCAGAGGTAGGGTTACGGAGCCATGTTTCATTACCTGGTACCACCCCAAATACCACAGGTATGTATTTGGATCTCCATTAGTTACATTTAGTATTCTTTTTAAAATAGCTCTGGTCCTTCTCAGTCTTCCTTTCTTAGAAATAGACTTCAAATTTTCTTGCCTTCTTTTTTTTTTTCCAAAGACTGGAAGACTGAGGAATTTTGCTGATTCAGTGAAGTCTTTCACTGACTTTGTTCGTACCTTGAAGTACTAACATTTTGTCTCAAAAAATCCCAACCCAGACAATTGGTATCATTAGCAGCAACTCAGCAACTTTGGTTTAAATCTATCTTTTGAAGGCTCTGAAATGCCTTTTTTCCTCCATTAATTCCTGTACAATTTCAGATTTATCGATGTCTCAACACAAAGAGATATGTCTGTACAGTTGCATGCCTGTTTATAGATGGAAAAGTATGACAAAAAAAATCTTGAGAAAACATGGATTTTGCTGGATTCACAATTAAGTCTATTTATTCTAGTGTTGTTCTAAAGATTGCATTTTTTACAGCTCAAATGCTGGAGTAAAGAGCTGTTATTCACCTGGATATAAAATCGCTCTTCTCTATGAAGAATGTGCAGGGCGATGCTTGGAATTTGTGCAAATATTTGGCCTGGTGGCACTCTGATTCAGAAAGGAGTCAGACAGTCTGTTGGAATATTCAGCTGCAACATAATAGCAGTTCTTAAAATACTCTAGCTTAAAATGCCATCCAGAGAAAACTTATTTAGTCTTTTCTCAGTTGTCTGTTGAGTCAGCCACTTGTGAAAAGGCAATAAACAGGAAGAAATTCAGGAATTAGCATGGCAGCCTTCGATAACTCTCTTCTTCAGTTCAGAAAAAAATGAAAATTTATGAAATACAGAGGCAAGGCATTTGAGGGTTTATGCAATATATTTAGATTTCTCTCTTGAACACTCTAGAAGGGTTTTGAAAAGGAATAAAGTCAAATAAGAAACCTAAATCTATCCAGAAATTACTGTTTACATATGTTTCTGTATATTGTGCAGAGTTTTGCAGGGAACTTTGCTGTTTCCTGTGTTCAGATTTTACTTTGTGATCCTTAATTTTGTGCTGACCCAGATCTAGTGATGTATGGAGCAGTCTAGGAATGGTTGCAATGGTATTATTGGCATAGGCATTTTGATATTTATCAAAATGAAGGATACTATGCTTTTTCCCCACTTCTCAGGGCGTACCCTCCTGTCCACAAAGTACCCCATCAGTTGGGTGGTCAGAGCAGCTGGTACAGAACCTACTCAGACATATAGCTCCAAAATTCCTCCATGTTGCCACCCTAAAGATGCTTGTTAACTCCTCTTACTTCAGTGTGATAGCTCTCACGTTTATTTTCATTCTCTACTATCTTTAGCAGACTTCGGGACTGTTAAAATAAACATTCTTTGCCTAGTAATGTGGCGCTTCTCAATTTGGCAGACATTTGGCAAACAAAATTTCATTGCTGTCCATAGTATTTTATTTTTTCAGAGTGATGAGAGTTACAGCTTATGGCTGAACTATGTCTACAAAGTCAGCAGGGGTGGCACACAGGGTTGTTTTCTCATTACCTTGTGGAGGGGTGGGGGAAATTGTTGGCCTTTGAGATGCATGTGAATCTGTGGCTTTCACAGTCAGCTTAGAAATATAACCTGTGCCAGCTTGTCTTCTGATTCCAAATTTCTTCAAGGATTAATGGGACTGCGGCAAAACACAGCTTCTCCTTCTGTACTGAGCTGTCATCATCATCTTTCTTAGATCCAGTGAAACTCGGTCCAAGTAGACACCTAAAAGAAACATGGGAAAATCTGACAAATACTTGAGAGAGAATGATAATGTGAGACCCAACAGGAAGCAGGATGTCACAAACACAGGAGCTCAGACAACTGTATTGAACATAACAATGAGACATATCCATAAGGGTCACATATGAGGTGATTTCCTTTATTTAAAAAAGTTCTTATTAAAGGCAAGAGATGATTTTCCTTAAAACAATAGTGAAGGGTCAATCTCAGGATTCAGGTTATTGAATTTTCTTTGCATAATACCCAGCAACATGCAAAGCCAATTTCCTTAAATAACTAGGTGTCATGAGCACACGGAGGCTTTTCTATCAGTTTTTTATTTTATATAAACCATCATGAACTCATTTGGTATTAATGGAAATCCCATGTGTTCACACGCTGTCATTAATCATTAATTAATGTGTCATTGTTTAAATTGTGTTACTCCCCATCCAATAGCTGTGGAGCTCTCAAAAGTTCTCAAAAGGAATTGATTTATTTTCTTTGGCTCCACGGTTGCAGCCTGTACTTGTCATGCACATATATACTGAATGAGGAAAGGATTCCAGGTGCTTAGCCATCCAAAGAGGACAGCTTAATCACACAACAGCACATATGCCTGTATATGTTTGAGAAGCAGACAAAACCTGCAGCAGAAGTTTTCATCAAGGTGTAGGGATCCTTACAATTCCTGTTGTAACTGCAGAGCAGGAGAGGTCCATGGCCCCTCTCACAGACATTCTTTCTCTAGGCAGTGATTTTTCAGACTCATCATCTCCTAAAAGGCTATGTTTACAGCATTCCTCTAGTTCAAGCTGGGAACCACTGGGGGCAAATTGCAGTTCAAATATCTGACAGAGCTTTTGACAACGAAGGCTCTTGTGAGCCTCAGGATGGTTCTTAAAGTCAATTCAATAGTTAGATGATATTTCATTAAAATAAAAATTGAAGATGTCTGCAAATATTTGAGTAGGAAACAGCTAATGTTCTGTGCATTGTACCATCACACTGATGACACTCATTGTTTAATCTGTCATAATTACCATTGTAAAGTATGTTTTTTCTGATTTCTTTTTTTCAGTACAGCTGTTTTGTTCAGTGCCCACTTTCAACCTTTATGCTGTTTCTCTTTTTCCCTTTAAAACCAAATTAAAACCAATTTGACTTTTTTGAGATCTCTCCTTTAGAGAGAGCAAAACAAAAGAGCCAGGAATGTTGCTATTCAGAGCTGGACCAGATCCTCCTCACTGGATGTGCATGAGGCTGAGTGATACCCAAGTGCCTTTGCCTAGTATAAAGGAGACAGAAAATTTCTATCCCACTTAGTGAACTGGAGGTATGAACCTGCTTGTTGAAGCTGCAAAAAGAGGCCTCAATTAGCCCTGTATTTTTCATGTCCCTTTTTGTTTTCCAGGGAGATGTGGTTGAAGTCCCATGGTTCAGTAAGGCAGACTGGGAGAGAGATGGCTCTCTAACGAATGCCTGACTTGCCTGGCAGTGGAATTTCCACTCAAAAGGTGAGGTCCTTTTCTTGGTTAACAGCTCTGTTCCTGGGATCTCAACAGTGATGTCCCTCTCTCATGCTTAATCCCTTCAAGCTTCCGACCTTACTCTTGTTCTGCCAGGCAGTAAGCATGGTGTACTTCCCACTGGTGTCCTGCTAATGTCTACAACTTGTTGACTTACTATGGTGGTGGCTGTGATCTGAAATTTGAATATATGGGGACAGGGCAAAATCATGGCCTGTTACATGGCTTGATTGATTAGAAGGAAAGAATAAACTGTATTTTAGGATGATAAATGTGGGAATCTGGAGATCTAGCGTCAACTCTCTCTTTAGACATAGATTTTCTCGGGAAGATCTAGTTTCTCTGTGCCTGAATTCCTCTCATAAGACATGACCAGTGTTTCGCAAAGATGCTGAGTGGATAAGTACTGCCTGGAAGGGAACAAATATCTGATTTGCTGAGAATACAGCACTCCTGCCAGCCCTGCAGGCCCCTTCCCTGGAAAATGATGGCAAGTGGCTATCATCCGGATGGTTTTGCTTGCCTCTGAAATGTAGTACCACAGCCCAGAGTGAGGCCACCAGCCCTTCACAAGCAGCAAAGAGCAGCTGGAAGTGAGCAGTTCCTTATGGCAATACCCGACCAGCTCTTTCCCACATTTCAGAAGTGAGCACTGCAGCACAAGGGAGCACTGTGCACTGCAGCACAAGGCCAGTGCCTCTGCAAGGTTCCCCGTGTTGCCACGCAGGGCTGTTAGGCCCTGAAAATGTGGCATCCTGTCTCAGCTAATTATCTCCCTAGCTCCTGAGAGGGTGAGTCCAGGCACGGTGCTGTGCTGACACAACTGTCCTGCTGCCAGTTCCTTGGTTGGCACTGTCTGTGGAATCCCAGCGCTGCACTCCATTGCAGAGTGTAGCTGTGTCTGTAGGAACTTTTCACAGGTAATCATGGTGCTGGAAAAGTGTTTCATTCACTGCAATGCAAAGAGCCCCGTGGGCTACAGCTAGGGAGGAAAGTAGGCTTGTTTCTCTTGTGCTACACCATGTATTCTGCATGGGC